CATGTTTAACACAAAGACCAGATCATTTTGCTGCAGCTGGAGAATGAGGGCTCGTCTCCCTGAATGACAGGATGCCCCTCACAATGGCAGGATGCATCTCTAGGGTGTTTACAGGTTGGTTGGTTACAGTGGAAAACAACTCACCCTTTACATACCTGGCAGCTGACGTGCCCCCACCGTGGGGCAGGAAGAAGGCTTGCAGTGTGGCCACTGACACCCGCTTCCAGACTGACCAAGGACAAGCTGTTCGGGGTGTCCTCAGTCACTGTCACGCTAACAAAAATGCCCCCTGTCCTTCAGAAGCTGACACCACAAGTACCACTCCGGACTCATTGCATCGGTTCAGGGCATTAACAGCGATGCCCGATGCATTTCCCCTCCCTTACGTATTTATGTGCTCATTTCCCACACTGATTCCCTCACCCTCCATGCCAAACAAACTGTGTTTGGCCTCTATTCCCAGGACACTGCATGGAAAACTCCTCCGAGGCACCTCCCTCGCCTCTCTGCTGCCAACAAAGTGAGAGGCAGAAACCGGGAGGGAACAGCCCCACGAAGTCATTGCTAACCCTGCAGTGCTCCAGGTACGATGAAGCCTCCTGAAGGCTGGATCTGTGCAGTGATGCTCTTAGGAATGAAGACAAGGCCGAGCAACAGGTAGGGAGAAATGAAGCCGCAAACCCTGTTGCCTCCAGCCAAACTCTCTCATTTTCCACTGCTGCTGGGCTTTAAACACAGCAACAGGAGATAACCGTGCCCGCTGCATCCGAGTTACCTGGGACTGGCAAAAAGGCTGCTGGGCAGGGGGAAAGGCAGCAAGAAAGGGCACAGAAAACAGTTTCCTGGATGTGTTGTGTGTGAGATCTCCCTCCCGTCACTGCAAAGGATGCAGCCGATCCTCTCTCCCAAGGAACTGGAAACCAGTGACTTGAAAAAGGGACTAGAAAGTGAAACGCAACTTTCAGCCTTGTATTTGGTGGGTCTGTCTTTGAGGCACTCCCCTAAAAAGCCTGATCCCTGCACTCAGTGCCTGGGCTGCCCGGACTGTTCCTTTGCTTAGAGCAAGGGGATTGCTCGGTGTCTGGTCCCCAGTTCAGGCTGTTTCCTCCTGGTGTGCATCCAGCTCACTCCAGCCCATGTACCTTTGGGCTGCAAAAGCACACAGCAAACAGCTTGCTGTGGCAAGAGCATGGCAGAGAGGATAAAAACACCTCTTCCCCATCGGTGCTGGGAGGGTTGGTAACAGAAAATCCCCGTGGTCATCTGGCTCTTAACCCTGGAAGCCGCCGGTCACTGCACAGCAGCGCCAGTGCCCCCCGCTGAAGTGGGAGCTGCACTGAAGGGGTTGCTCCGCTCGGCAGCGCTGCAGCAGGAGGAAGGAATTAGAAGTCCCTTGTGCATCTCATACCCAGCATTGTTCTCGTGGAGTATTCCCTTGGATCGGTCCGGCTGATGGAGGCCACGGTCCCACAACAGAATCCAGCTGAGTGCAGGGGGAGTGCAGCCATGGCAGGGGGAGGATTTCACAGGGGACAGCGATGGGGTGAGAAAAGGCACCAGTGATTCCCACACCCGGGTGCATGGAGCAGTGTGGGACGTTTTAAAGGCAGGAGGTCTCCAGAGGCTCTGCATTCAACCCTGAAACAAGCAACCTCAGTCAGTTGTGGCTTACACGTATTTCTGGCTGAACACATCTCATACAACCATGGAATGGTTTGGGTTGGAAGGGACCTTAAAGCTCATCCATTTCCAACCCCCGTTCCAAACGCAAGACCCCCATGGCCTTGGGAAGACGCAACATTCTCCTCAGCACAACCACGGAGCAGAAACGGGTTTTAAGTCAAGAGGCTGACGGCAGCCCCCCGACCTTTGATGCTAGAGGATCATGAGTAGCATTTATAACCGTACATCAGCCAGAAAGCATCACCAAGGGCACAGATGATGCCAGTGCCCTCTGACGGACACAGCAACACCTTTAGAGCCCGTCCTGCCCCCGCTCCGCCCCACACTGCCCGGCTCCCCACAGCCCCGAGAGGCGGCAGGACCTTCCCCTTCGGGACATCTGCCTTCCGATTGGCTGCTGGTGCTGCCTGTCACGGCTCGTCACCCTCCGTAACCAATGAGCGTGCAAAGAACCGAGGCGGGGGCGGGGCTTGAAGGAGTCGGGGCCGGAGGTGGAGAGCGTCGGGCGGACGTCGGGGGACAGGTAGGGCCGGGGCGGCTGCGGCGGGCGGCCTGAGGGGAGGCGCGGCCCGGCCCCTTTCATCCCATCCCACCCCATCCCATTCCGGCCCCTTCCATCCCACCCCATCCCGGCCCCTTCCATCCCACCCCATCCCGGCCCCTTCCATCCCACTCCACCCCATCCCATCCCGGCCCCTTCCATCCCACCCCATCCCATCCCCATTCCATCCCCATCCCATCCTATCCCCATCCCACCCCACCCCATCCCACCCCTTCCCACCCTTTCCCACCCCTTCCCTTCTTCCCCTTTTCCCTTCCCTGATGCGCTTCCCCCCAGCCCCGGGCTGTCTCTGTGGTGGAGCACGGTGGTCGCTCGCTCGGCGGCGGCAGCGGCAGCGGCCTGGGGTAAGCGGGGGGCACCCCGGAAGGCCCGGCCCCTGGATGGGGTGGAGCTGGGATGTGGAAGCCTCGGCAGCGCTGAGCATCCGCTGTCCTTGGGCGGGCATGGAGGGGTTGCTGCCGGGGGGGGGGAAGCTCCGAGCGGGGCGGTTGGGTGTTGGGGCTGGGGAGAGCAGAGAGCCCGTGGTGGGCATGGGAGCATCATGGATAGAGGCTTGGAAGGGCTCCGGGTGAGATAGGGACAGAACAAGGGGAATGGCTTTAACCTGCCCGAGGGGAGACTGAGATGAGCTCTTAGGCAGAAGCTCTTCCCTGTGAGGGTGCTGAGGCGCTGGCACAGGGTGCCCAGAGAAGCTGTGGCTGCCCCATCCCTGGCAGTGTTCAAGGCCAGGTTGGACACAGGGGCTTGGAGCAAGCTGCTCTATGGAAGGGGTCCCTGCCCGTGGCAGGGGTTGGGGCTGGAGGAGTTTTAAGGTCCCTTCCAACACAAACCAGGCTGTGGGTCTGTGTTAAAGGTGAGGAGTTTATTGGGATGCTCCCAGGGAAAAGATGCAGATGTGCTATGGGCCACCTCGGTGGGGGGGCTCGTACCTGGGAGTACCATGCTCCTTGGTCCCTCCAAGGCCATAACCACACACACGGTCCCTCTCCCCTGCTATGCGTCACAGTGCTGTTGGGTTTTGGTCCAGGTACAGATGCTTTTAGTCAGATGGCTGCTGGGAGATTGGCTGATTGTCTGGAAAACAAAGAGTTTTAAGGCGTTTTTGCAAGCACCCCTTTGAACATACATTGTCAGTCATTGAAAGAATACCCATAAACAGCACTTTGTATGGCTATTGATGTTTTACAGGTCATGATGGGTGGATTTGGAGTCATCCAACGTGTTTATCAACATGGCGCAATAGACTACATTTCCCCCTGCTTTTATTAAGAATTACGTCCCTGACTTGTTTGGGTGACCTGAATTCACCTGAGCAGGCTAAAACCAGATACACACCTCATTGTTAACAACTCAAACAAGTAGTAATCTAAACCCACCCGCAATGAGGAGTGTGCACGGTGCAGCCCAGCTATGTCACAGCATTTCTGATGGAGAGCTCCAACCCTGGTGTGCAAATAGTCTGCTAAGGGCAAGGTCCTGCACCTGGGTTGGAGCAAATCCCAGGTACAGCTACAGGTTGGGCAGAGAAGGGATTCAGAGCAGCCTGAGGAGGACTTGGGGGTGTTGGTCGATGAGAAAATGAACATGAGCTGGCTTCAGTGTGCGCTCACAGCCCAGAAACCAACGGTATCCTGGGCTGCATCAAAAGGAGGGTGACCAGCAGGTCCAAGGAGGTGATCCTGCCCCTCTACTCTGCTCTCCTGAGACCTCACCTGGAGCATTGTGTGCAGTTCTGGTGTCCTCAACATAAAAAGGACATGGAACTGTTGGAACAAGTTCAGAGGAGGCCACGAGGATGAGCAGGGGCTGGAGCACCTCCTGTGTGGAGACAGGCTGAGAAAGTTGGGGCTGTTCAGCCTGGAGAAGAGAAGCTCTGTGGAGACCTCAGAGCTGCTTCCAGTGTCTGAAGGGGGCCTATAGGGATGCTGGGGAGGGACTCTTCATTAGATACTGCAGTGACAGGACAAGGGGTAACGGGTTCAAACTGAAACAGGGGAAGTTTAGATTGGATCTAAGGAAGAAGTTCTTTACTGTGAGGGTGCTGAGGCACTGGAATGGGTTGCCCAGGGAAGGTGTGAATGCTCCATCCCTGGCAGTGTTCAAGGCCAGGTTGGACAGAGCCTTGGGTGCCATGGTTTAGTGTGAGGTGTCCCTGGCCATGGCAGGGGGGTTGGAACTGGATGATCTTAAGGTCCTTTCCAGCCCTAACTATTCTATGATCCTATGGTTCTGACTGGGGTGCAGAGGGTTAAGAAACCCTGTGATAAGCTGATAAGGCTGGAATGCATTTTGATGGGGTTTGGCAGATCAGCTTGTTACAGGTGGCTGGTGTTTTGTCTAAAGAAGAAAGGGAACTTGGTGTTTCCAATCCATAATAATCATTTTTGATGTTGACAGGAGTATAGCAAACAGTGGTGGAATATTCCAGTGATGGAAATACTCATGGGATCATGCGAGCCAGTAGAAAATAGCCTGGAGTGAGCTGTGGGATTACCCGTGCCCTACAGAGCTGATTAATGAAGGTGTTTATTACCTTCCCTGAGTAAAGCTGTGCTGAGGTGGCTTTTCAGCACACCAGGATTGATGCCACCCTGGGGACAGCTGCCTTTTGTGCTGCCCTCATGCATGGGGCTGCAGCCTTGTGGAGACTAAGTCTGCTATTGTGGCAAAGGAAACAGGCTCATACTCCTTTGAATTCAGACACACGTCTCTGAACAGCCTTATCTGTGCATTTTGCATATGCAAAATACAATAGGGTGCTGGGGACTTGCAGAAGTCACTGTGTAAGGGGGTCAGCAATACTTGCTGCAGGACTGCTGTAGTTGGGATGTGTGGCTCTAGAAGGTGGAAGCTTATTCAATGGGAGTGTTTCTTGGCACCTGTGTAAAGTGTTTCCGGGAGTTTTCTCACTGACATCATTGCCTTGATTCAGGGATATATTTCTACCTCCTAGGCAAAGAGGAGCACAAAAAGAAAGCTCCAGTTAACTCTTTACGGCTGCGTTCAGTTGAGATCCTCTGTCCTGGATGTGACTTTCTGTTTCCTCAGGCTTCCATGATGTTTGCCCAGTGCAGCCCCAGGTGTGCGAGCTCCGTGCTGCTGCTGGTGCTGCTCTGCTGCATACTTCCTCCTCCGGCACTAGGCAGCAAGGTGAGTGACCTGCTTCAGACACAGCCTGACCCGTGCGGGCAGTGCGACAGGAGCAAAAGCAGCGGAGAAGCAACAGGGTTTCACAAAGACAGGGAGGGCTGAGGTGTGTTCTTGATGGCAGTGGCCTCTGCTGTGCCTTCTGCTGGGTTTTGGAGCTTGCACTTTAGAATGTGTATGAAAAGTACTTGGTGCCTGGGCAGGCGGGTTAACTGTGGAGTTCTTGAGGTGAACGCAGCAGTGCAGGAAGAAGAGACGTGGTGTGAGGTCCTCTTGGAGAACGTTTTGCCTTCTCCCACCGGCCGGGTGCTGAGGGCACAGAAATGTCCCCGCACCTCACTGACAGCACCTCCTCGTGTTGTGCAGAGCTCAGAGGACATCCGCTGCAAGTGCATCTGCCCCCCGTACCGGAACATCAGCGGGCACATTTACAACAAGAATGTGTCACAGAAGGACTGGTGAGTTGGTGTGGGTTCAGTCCGTGAAAACCAATGCTCCCGAGTGTCCAGCTGGCGCTGGGGAAGTGATTCCCTGCCTTCCATTTGCAGGGGAAGCTGGTTTTGTTGGTAGGGGATGTTCAGCCCAGGCAAGGAGCACTTTTTGAACAGAGACTGAGGAATCTGGGGGTGTGATTCCTTAAGGCACAGCTCTCAGCAGATACAGGGTGTACCCTCCTGTTCCTTTCACCAGGACCAGATCCCTGCAGAAGGTGCTTGGACAGTCTGTGCCAGGAATTAGCTGAGCTGTGAAGGGAACTCAAACCCGGATCTGTGTTATCAGCCTGATGGGAAAGCTGGGACACAGGGAAAGTCACCCCAGTGTGCTTCCCCAGAGCATTGCTTGCAGCTTGGCCTGCTGCTGATTTTGGGTTCTCTGTGTTGCAGCAACTGCCTGCATGTTGTGGAGCCAATGCCAGTGCCAGGGAATGATGTGGAGGCCTACTGCCTCCTGTGTGAGTGCAAGTACGAGGAGCGCAGCACCACCACCATCAAGGTAATCATGGCTCTGCTCCCTGTGGCTGGCTCCTTCTCCCTGCCATGCCACGCCAGCCCAGGCACAGCCACACTGGTGGGTGCCTGGAGAAGAGCCCAGGAAGGGGAAATAAAACCATGGTGGTAGTGCCAGGGGCACCATGTGCGAGCCAGGAGGGCTCCTGGCAGGGAGGAGCAGGCTGCACGGGAGCAAGGGTTTCTTGCTGAGGATGCGTGACAGTGACAAGCACCTCTGAGCAGGGGCACATCCTGTTGGGCTCCTTTCACATGCAGCATGTGTCCTGAACTGGCACAGTGCAGGGAGGAGCAGCACATTGTGGCACTTGTGTCTCATCAGCACTTGCTGCAAGTGCAGGGGACTTTCTAGTGAGCAAAATCAGAATGAGAGAGGAGACCCAGCATCCGAGGCAGCTGTGAAAGGAGCTTCTTGGCCTCTGTGCTGCTTCTCACCTATATACTGATTCTTTTCCTCCCTGCTGTCTTTTACTGCAGGTGATCATCATCATTTACTTGTCTGTGGTGGGAGCATTGCTGCTGTACATGGCTTTCCTTGTGCTGGTGGACCCTCTGATCCGGAAGCCAGATGCTTATACCCAGCCCCTGCACAATGAGGAGGAGAATGAGGTGAGGCTGTGCTGCTGGTGCATGTTTCTTGTGCTCCAGGCCCTTCACCAGCTCCATTGCCCTTCTCTGGCCCCACTCCAGCAACCTCCTGTGCTGGGACTGCCCATGCCTTGATCTCCTTCATTGTTTCCTTCCCTTGCAGGATGCTCGCTCCTTGGCTGCAGCCCTCACCCCATCTGGGGCCAGAGCCAACACGGTGCTGGAGAGGGTGGAGGGGGCCCAGCAGCGCTGGAAGCGCCAAGTGCAGGAGCAGAGGAAGACAGTTTTTGACCGCCACAAGATGCTGAGCTAGATCTTTGCTGAGCACCACTTCCCAAGAGCCAGGGCAGCTCTGCTGTTCGAGACGGACAGCAGGTCATCCTCCAGGACCCTGTGGTGGTTGAAAGCTTTAACCCTCTCTGATTTACCATCTTCATGGAGAGCAACAGACCAAAATGGTTTTGTCCCTTCACCCCTCAGCCCAGAGGCTCCTGACCCCTTGCCTGGCTGAGGTCTGTGCTCATCGTGGCTGCATGTACATGGTTGGATGCATAGGCTGACTCGAGCAGACACTGCAGCTCCAGTCTCCATCATCCCACCCCTGTGTTGGAGACAGAGGTCTCCATACAGTGTTGGAACCCAGCTGAGTCTTCCTGGGATAAAGACAGTGGGCTAATTTTTATGTGGGATAAGTTAGTGGCGCTTCTCCAGGACAAAGAAGCCTCCTCCTCCTCTTCCAGTTTGCACCAATGTTAACTGGGCGTCCTGGTGCTGAGATGAGTGTGTTGTACTGGAAGGAAGAGGAGGGGGTTCCCTGCCCGGGGTCAGCTGCTTACCCTGGTGTAAACAGAGGGCATTTCCACTCTCTTCAGTGGAGTGTGTCCAGATTTACACCAGCATAACTGAGACTGCAGCTTGCTTCTGCATAGGAGGTGATCACAGCACTGGTGAGTACCTTCACAAGTAAGAGACCAACAGGTAAAAGGTTGACTTACATGTTTTTTTTTTCCTGCTTTAGCAAGGGATAAAAACATACTGGGGAGAAGGCTTTTCATTGCACCCACACTGGTAACCCTTGATGCTCTCACAGCATGGTCAGGAGCACTCGTGTCCTGAGCAAAGTCTCTGCAGGAGCACTGTAAACACTCCTCTGGGTCTTGGGGCCCTGGGAAGGGAACACTTGTACTGCTCCAGGCACTCCCACGAGCTCTTGACTGGACCTGGGCTGTGTGGAGGAAACTGAAGTGATTCTGCCGTGTGTATATTGGTCCCACTGAGAACATTGACAATGTCAGGAAGGTGCTGGAGATCATCATGTAGCATCTCTGTATTAAATGCAGACAAAACTCTGTTACCTGGCTGGCTGGTTTTTCAGGGAAAGGTCCCATCCCAGCAGGTCTGGGGCTCCAGCACTGAGTGGCTGCTCCAGCTTCACATCATACTGGGGTCATGTTTTGCTTTACACGTCCTTGTTCCATGGGCTCAATGGTTGGACCTTTCTCTCCCTTAAGAAAGCCCCATTTTCTCTGTCCTTCTTTCTCGGTGTGAATCCCTTGTGGACACAGGGTGGTCCCTGGTTTCCCTCCTCCAAGAGGGAAAAGTCTATTGGAAGGGTCTGAACAGCACGACTGGGGCTGGATGGGAGCTGTTGTACTGGTGCGATGGGTCCATCTGGTGGCTGGTGCCCCCTGACCACCACTGGGACATGGGTGACCACCAGTGGCCAGGTTCTTGCCCTATGCCCCTGATCCTGGAGGGTGAAGGGTTTGCTGAGCAGTATCCCTGAACCCCCCGGGAACAGCTGGAAAATGGGATAAGAGAGGAAAACCTGCAGGTGGTTGGTGGGGTAGAAAACTCAGGTGGGGAGGGAATGGTGTGGAGAGGCTGCAGGAGGTGCCACTGCCTGGTTAGCTGTGGCTTCATCAGATGATTGCCTTTGTCCCCTACCCCATCCTTCCTCATGGAGCTTCTGCTCCCCTCACCCTGCACCCAGGCTCAGCCTGGGGGCCCTGCTCCTGCTCCCATCCCACATCCCTCCGGACACAGGCGCCAGCAGGAGCCAATAATTTAATTCCTCATCCAAAAAAAAGGGAGCAGGGAAACCAAGGAACCTCTGAGTACAAACTGCACCGACGTTTGTAACCTGCCTCCTCCACGGTCAGGTGCCCGCCGCGGTCCAGATCTCGATGCTTTGGATGATGAGCCACTCGCTCTGGTCCCGGGTCACCCGGATCCTAACACACTCCACAGGCCCTGGGACGCCCCTCTCCAGCCCCCGCCGCTCACAGCTCCCCTTCTCGAAGATGCCCACCATGGTGTAGGCAGAGCAGTCCCGGCCATCGTCGCGGCGCCGCCGGCCCAGCTCCAGCACCCCGGCGTGCAGGATGTCCCCCCGGCGCTCGGCAGAGCCGGTGCGCACCCGGACACGGGTGACACGGGCCGGCTGCTGGAACACGATGGAGAAGGTGCTGCCGGCTGCTGGGTCCTTCCCCCAGAAGTACCCCTCGGCGGTGCTGTAGGCCTTGAGGGGCTCGTAGTTCTCAAAGACAGACATGGTGGTGAACAAGGCCGCTGGAGGGTTGTCCGGCAGGTCCATGGCATCAGCCTGGAAGTCGTCATCCTCCAGCCTGTTGACGGTGCCCTGGAAGGAGGAGTAGAGGCCCATATGTTGGAAGAGGGAGGGCTTGAAGCGGATAGCATCCTTCTGGGTGAGCAGGAGGCGGAAGTGCACCAGCAGCCAGTCGCAGGGCATCTCCTGGTAGAAGAGGAGGAGGAAGCGAGCCAGGCGAGGAAGGTCACTGGAGCGGTAGAGCTTCCCGATGTAGCCCAGCTTGGAGAACTCCAGCGTGGCCCAGTTGGAGCCCTCCTGGGAAGCCAGAGCCTTGCGGATGGCCATCAGGAAGGACTTGGCGCACCACACGTCATCCTCGATCATCAGGTAGTAGGAGGAGAGGTTGGCAGCGAAGGCAAGCAGGAAAGCGTAGTCCACGTTCTGCTTGGACCTGAACCTCACCCGCTCCTCCGGGTCATTGAAGTTCCTCTTGAGGCCCTCCAGGGTGGGGTAGAACTCGTGGGGAGCGTGGATGAGCAGGAGCCGGCCCAGGAGGATGTGCTGAGCAAACCTGGTGGCGATGTTGGCGGCCACACGCACGTTCCACGTGGGGTCGGCGTCAGCCAAGTGCACCACCACCACCATCTCCTGCAGCTCCTCCTCTGTCGACTGCTTGAAGAGGGACTGGAGCGTGGCCGGGAGGTAGTAGCCACGCGGCCGCTGCACCGATGCCAATCCCACCGCCAGGAATTCTGCAAGGCAAAGGAAGGGCTTTGGCAGGCTGGGGATGGACCTGGGATGTGCCACGGCGAGGGGGCTCCAAAAAGCCCTCTCCATGCCCAACCCACAATGGCCCCAGGTCAAGGCTGGTAGGTCCTTTCTTAAGCTGAAGCCTCCAGCATCTTGGGAGGCACCCAAATGGCAGGGGGAGCACAGGATGAGAAACCAGGGCTCCTCTGAAGAGGAAATATTTGGGGGAAAACACCTTTACAAAGGCAAAGGTGGGGAGGAGCAGAGCAGAGGCATCGTGCGGGGAGGGATGGCTTCGTGGAACGGCTGCACATCCCTACCCGACTCCAAAACTCGTGGATACAGCCTCACCAGGATGAGATCACCCCTTCCCTCCCCACAGCTTCCCTGCAGCTCCTCTGTGCAGCCCCTGGCCCATATTGAGCCTCTGGTTTCAGCCCAGGCTCATGTGGGGCTGCCCCAAGGTGTCTGCATGAGAAATGCTTCTCATGCACCAAAGAGCTCGATCAACATCTCCCACACTGCATGATTATCCCCACAGTTGGGCCCCACCACCTCCACCTTCCTGACTGGAGCTCAGCCCAGGGAGAGGGGATCTCAGCCACCGTCCCAGCAGAGACCTGGGAAACGCAAACGCCTGCAGTCACCCCAGCCCTAATGTGCAGGAGCAGGGGCCATGCTTGGAGCACACGGACCTTCCTCTACCCCTCCGTCTTGACAAAGAGAGCAGCAAAGGTTGGCTGGGGAGGTATGGGCAGGTGTGCCCCCTCAAAACAGGCTGGAGCAGGGCCGCCCCTGCCCAGCGGCAGCAGCGATGGGGCAGGTCCGTGCTGGGGGTCCCGGGGACACTCACTTTTGTGGGGTGACAGGGAGCCAGCCAGGAGGTGGTAGGAGACGTTGTGGAGTGCAGAGAGGCCGCCCATGTCCCTGAGGATGCGCTGGGCTCCTTCCGGCTGCAGCAGCTGCAGGACCGCGTCTGGGGCCAAGGCCCCGAGCTCCACCTGGGTGGGAGCCGCAGGCAGCCAGGTCAGAGCCCAGAGCACCACGGACACCCGTGAGCACGGGGCAGTGACAACAGGGGAGCCCCTGTCCTGCCCTGGGCAACGCCAGGGAGAGGAGGAGACAGAGCTGGGGTGGGGGTGATGGGGTGCAAAGCAGGGAGCAGAGGTTGGGGTCCGTGTGGGGCAGGCGGGGATGGAGGATGCGCCCGTGGGACATCACTGGTGTGGGACTCACCTCTGGGGGATCCTGTTCCTGCCGGCTGCCCCCGTAGAGGAAGAGGAGGAGGAGGAAGGAGGCTGCGAGCGCAGCCGAGAGGGAGCGCTTCAGGGAGCATCGCATAGCACCGGGCACACCGAGACCTGCGCGAGGAAAGGGCGCATCAGGCCAGGGCTCATGGGGCAGGGGGGACAGCTCCTGGGTGCACCTCAGGGGTGATCCCAGCAGCAGCCATAGGGCACAGTTGGTACCGTCCTGCACCATCCCTGCTGAGCGGGCAGTGGGGGGGGGAACACACCCCAACACAGCCAGGTACAAAACGCACCCTGCAGCACCCACACAGCACCCGGAGCTGGAGGCAAGGGAAACGCAGGCATCGCACACAGCGGGGAAGGGTTTGGGGTCAGGGCGGCCCTCGGGAGCGCTCACCGAGACCTCGGGACCTGGCACGGAGCCCTGGGAAAGGCTCTTCCTGCAGCGCAAGGACAAAGCAGCTCCCGCAGCCCCTCCTGCCTGCCCCCTTGTCCTGGCTGGGCAAGGAACCCGTCCCCACCGTGGGGGAGCCGCCTTCAAGGAAGCCACACAGCCCTTGAGGTGTTTTGCCCTGCAGCAGGGGCTTGGCTCCTGTGCTCGCCTGGGGTTTTTCCACTATAAATATGAGCTGGAAGAGGAGGAACTGGAGACGGAGCGAGCAGGGCAACCCCAGCTGGGTGCTCACAGCACATCAGCCTGTCAGGTCCAAGTACCTTTGAGTGCAAACGTGGAGGGAAAGTCCTTCCAAGCCATGCCATAAACCATGGGGAAAGCTCTCCTGAACCAGGGCTGGGCTTCACCCAGGGCCGCTCCTCACATCATGGAATCCCAGAGCAGTTTTATGTTGGAAGGGACCTTAAAGCTCCTCCAGCTCCAACCCCTGCCACGGGCAGGGACCCCTTCCACTAGAGCAGCTTGCTCCAAGCCCCTGTGTCCAACCTGGCCTTGAACACTGCCAGGGATGGGGCAGCCACAGCTTCTCTGGGCACCCTGTGCCAGCGCCTCAGCACCCTCACAGGGAAGAGCTTCTGCCTAAGAGCTCAGCTCAGTCTCCCCTCTGGCAGGTTAAAGCCATTCCCCTTGGCCTGCCCCTACAGGCCCATAGAGAAACAAAGCAGCGCAGTCAGTTGGGCACAACCAGGGGCCACAGCCCCATCCCTGGGCTGCAGCATCCATGTCCTTGCTCCTGCCCCAGCACCTCACGCACCTTCCCCACAGCTCCACACCTCAGTGGGGCTGTTCCCAGAAGCCATTCCCCTGCTTCTGGGGGACATGGTGCTGGTGGACAAGAGCTGCCGAGAGCCCCCCAGTCAAACTCCTCCAGTTCAGTGGGAGACTCCCGGCCTCACGGTGCTGTGTGACGCAGTGGCTGTGATTCAGTCCAGCAGCGAGGGGAAGGGGAAGGAGTAAATACACAACCTCGGTCCCACGAGGCCTGAGAAAGGGCCGGATGCTCCCTGTGTACAGGCGGCTCCAGCTGCTTCCTCCAGCACTGGGCAGAGCAGGGCTCTCGCATGGGGAGGAGGGGAACAACCAGCGCTCAGTGTCCCGCTGCCAAAGCACCTTTTCCGTGCTGGAGGAAACAGGCACGGGAGAAGGTTGTGCATCACAACCAGATCACCCGCACCCGGGGGCAGGATGTAACCCAGCACCAGACACACCACAGCTGGCTGGAGCCTGATGGGCACCACATCGCGTTGCTCACCCACGGCTCCACAGGGAGGAAGGAGGGGGAAAAGCCCCATCTCAGTAGCGCAGGGCTCCAACGCTTTTAGGTCAACCCAGGTCTCCTCCAGCCCCGCAGCACAGGGTGGGCTCTGCTTGGACACTCGGCTGTGAGCCGGTCCCCGGAGCTGACAGCGTGGGGACCCCCAGCCCCGCAGCCCTCCCGGGGCAGCCCCATCCCAGCACCCCCCCGGGGCAGCGCAGACTCACGGGGTGCGCGGCCACGCTCCGGCTCCTCGCTCGGCAAAGCCCCACCCCGGGCCCTCGCCGGCCTCCCGCAGAGGAGGAGCGTCCGGAGCGGCCGCTGCCCCGCGCAGGGATGGGGGGGACCCGGGTGCGATGGGGCCAAGGGTCCCGGGCCCCGCTGCGGGAGGGATGGGGCAGCCTCAGCCTCCCCCTGCGACGGCACCGGCTGTACCCAGCCATCCGCTGCCAGCATCAGAACCCCCCAGGGCCCGGTGGAAACCTGCCGCTTGGGCGGCACCGGGGTGGGAACACGCCGGGAGCCCGGTGACAAGGAGCTGTGGGGTCTTTCTGCCCCCGTCTCTTTTCCAGCCCTTGTGCTGAGGTGGCAGGAGCAGAGAACTGCAGCCCCCAGAGCTGGCAGCATCCCTCATGGGGACCCGCGCATCCCAGCTCCTCGCTGGAGCATCGGGCATCGCAGCCCTGGCTGAGGACAGAGCCCCTTCCAGCTCCACCAGCCAATGTGAGCCCTTCCCATGGCCCAGTTTGTCCCCTGCTCCTCCACCTTCCAAGCCTCATTTCTCTCAATCACTTCCCTCCTCTGGACCCGCAATGGGAACACGGCCCTGGAGCACCCATGAGTTAGTTACCCACCAGCTCCTCCGCTCCCTCCAACACAACTCACCCACAGCATCCAGAGAGGAAAACCTTTCCCTTGCCTCCATCCCATCCTCCCCGTTTATCCACACAGAGTGTGGAGCCCGTTCCATGGCCTGGAGCTCTCCTACCTTCAGAAGGGCCCCAGTGTCTCTTCCCAGGCTTTGTCTTCTACCCTGGGACACCCTCCAGCCCCGGCTGCTCGCTGTGGGCTCAGATGGAACTGCCCGGCTCAAACAAACCTGCAAGGACAAAGGTGGCTGCAGAGAGATAAGGTACAACAGGAAGCAGGTAATGGCGTTGGGAAGGAGAGGGAAAGGCATCCGCAGGCTCCCAGATCCACTGGCTTTCCCTGTTCTCACGGTGCTTGATGTTTAAATCCTTAAATTCCCAGCACGGGATGCCGGTGGCTCTGTGCCCGTGGGGTCCCGGGAGCTCAATGGGGACACCAAGGCCTGTATGTGCACCCAGACAAGGGCTGAGTGACACCAGGACAACCAAGGGAGCTGGGAAACACCCCAGCAGTGACTGCACATGGCAAGGATGGGATGTGAGGCTCAGGGGGGGATGTGGAAAGGACCGGCAGCAGCTGCAGGAACCAGGGCTCAGTGCTTCCCACCCATGCAGGAAGGAAGGGGAGGGTTGGAGCCATGGTGCCCAACGCAGCCCTGGGGTCCCCATGGGACCTATGGGTGCAGCTGGCAGCCCCACTGCAGACCCTGCCCTTTGGGGAGCACACCCCACTGACACGAGGTGCAGCAGAATCCCCCTGGGGTCTTCATGGGCCATCTCAGGACAGGATTTGCCTCTCTCCAGGCACATGAGGCTCTCCACAAGCCTGCCCATAGTGAGAAAGGAATCCACAGCCACGACACAGCCCCTTTTGCCTACCACGATGGGGTCTTGCGTACCCCCATCTGGGGCTGGAGTGAGCACTGGGGTGGGACAAGGGAATCACAGCAGGTACCAACCACCTTACCCACAGCCCTGCCCTACACTGGATCCCTAGCAAGGAGAGGGGCAGGGGGAGGCTGGGGATCCAAGCTTCCATGATTCCCCTGGGGAAACCGGAGAGCTGGGCCGGATCTGCTTACAGCCCTTCCATTATTCAGGAGCCTGAGCAGGACAAAGCAGAAGTAAACCAGGGCCCCACACAGCAGGGAGAGCAGCACAGCTCCATTTCCACACCACGAGGACCCTTTTGAGTTGCATCCTATGGGAAAGAGTGATTGTGATACAGCAAAGAGCAGCAGCTCCTGCCTGGAGCCCTGGCAGGGACCATGGAGAGCAGTTGCACCAGAGCCTCACTGCACCCCAGCCCTGGGGAACACTGAACAGCCTGGAAGAGAGGCTGGGCTTGGGGGACAGAGGGTAGGACCCCCTGCTTGGGCTGAGCTCCAGCCAGGAGTCACCCACATCAGCGAGCAAACCTCAACGTGGGGTTCCCATGCTCCAGGGAAGGGAAGAAGGGGAAACATGATGCCCTGCAGCAAGCAGAGCCCAACCTCTGCAGCATCCCTGCCGCCTCGCTGGCCTCCTCACATGGACCACAGGAGCTCCCAATCCCTGCCTGTGCTCGGCACGCCTCCAGCTCCAGGGCCATCACAAGGTTTGCTGCTTGCAAAGAAAAAGGTCACATCATCATTCTTCATTTTATACATTTCAGGCTGGAGAAAGGCTTCAGGGCAGAGGCACCTCTGTAGCTAAATGGCCTTAATCGAACCCAGCAGGAAACATCCCACTCACCAGCTTCCTGCTTCACTTGCACCACCCAGACCTGCCCAGGGAGTGCTGGGGCTGGGAGCCACCAGCCACCATATGGAGCTGGTGCTGCTGGAGCACCTCTGCCCCAGAGCATGGGGCACATCCTGGCCATGCCCTAGGCCTGATGTGAACATTCCTGCTCTCACACATCTCACAAACACACAGCCCCAGGATTTGCTCTGGATTTCTTCACCAGAGCAAGAGCAAGGCACAGGGAAGGGCTGATGGCCACCAGCCTGCTCCATCCTCCTGCTCAGCCCTGGCTGGGAAGCAAACACCTCTGCCTTCACCCTCTGTACCCAGGGAAGCAAACAGCTCTGCCTTCACCCTCTGTACCCATGTCTTGTGCACAGCCCAAGCAGCGATCACCAGGCACATGGTGCTGGCATCTTCCTGCAAAACAGGTTTCAGGGTCTGTAGTGGAAAACACCTTCAAAGGCACTTTAAAGCACCTTGGATTCTGCAGGAAACAGGCTCTGATTGACAGACACCTCCCCAGGAGAGCCCACACCACCCAAGAGCCCCCGGGGCCAAGACAACAGGCAACTGCGCAGCTGATGCTGCTTCACCCACTAAGCAGCAGTGGAGAAACTCCACCCTGTGAGTCCTGAGCACTTGTCACAAAGCTCAGCAGTATTTAACCCCGCCACAGGAACATGACTGTTACTCACCCCGTGCTCTGGAGCAGCTTCCTCCCACGCAGCACCCACATGGAGCACCTCAGCTGCAGCCTCCACGCAGCTCCAGCACTAACCTGCTGCCCTTCCTCTCCTGTACCACAAAGGCAAGCACAGCTCAGGCCAGGCTCTGCTATCATGGGAACCAGCTTTGTTATCAGAGTCACAGCACACTTTTATTGCCCTTATCTCTACTTCAACTAATCTTGTTCCAAAACCTTCCCTGGCGGCACCAACACAAGTTCAGCAGCAGTGAAAAGGGGAAGTGAGGGCAGAGTTTTCCCAAGTATGTTTGAAGTCAACATGGCAGAGCCTTGAATGTAGATCCAAGTTTGGGTCCTCAGCTGGTGACTTACAGAGCGGCAGAGACACGTGGAAGGAACTCCTCGTGGGCACCTATGCAGAATCATGGGGTATTTGTACACTAACTTCAAACTGGGATGGAGAATTCCCTCCTTCCAGAAGCATCACTAAACATACATGGGAAACCACTCAGTGACTCCTGCTTGAGGCAACATCTGATGAGGAGCAGGACTGAGGAGCTAGTGATGAGCAGGCAGCAAATCCCAGCCCAGGGTTCCTATTGCTTCTGTGCCTCATGCACACTGCGCTTCGTCCTCTGCCTGCCACTGCTCCTCCGTAAGACCCCATCTGCAGCAGCAGGATGTGCACCCCCCCCAGCCTGCTCTCAGGAAAGACAAGAGTCCTTCATCACTGCTGCAGTTTCATTTCTCCCCTCCATCTCCTCTCCCTCCCTCCGTTTATCTTCTCTGAAAAGCACCTTCTGGGGTTAAAGCTTTAGATCTTCTCAAAGAGGAAGCAGCAGTGTGAGCACCTGGGAGTACCTTTACATGCAAGTAAGACTTTTGCCTTACATCTCCTCCTTGAAAGAAGTCCTTTTGTCTGATCATTTATTCTTTCCTTAAACTCGGATCTGCTGGACTATGAATTACTGGATCCCTGCTGCTTTCAGGCACCCAGAGACCACGCTGTGTTGGAACACCATCCTGCTGCAGGAAAACCAACCTGGGTTTGGTTTGCACATCATTTCTGGTCGTATTCAAGCTGGAAAGCAAAAACCTCCTGTTTCTTCCCAAACAACAGAAAACAGGACCACGGCCGTTAGCACCAAAAGGATTTTAAATGAACAGTTCCAGGGAGCGCCTTTCAAATCATAAAATTGGAATTTTACATAAAAGTGTGTTTACAAAGAGTTTCTGCTTTACACTCAGCTCTGCCCATCACTGACCAGAAGTTCTATACATACAGACCAGCGCAGCTGCTTCAACCACTTGCAAGAAGACTGCAGAATTTATTTAAGAAATAAAAAGGATTTCCTGCTTCCTTGACATACTCTTCAGCCTGTTGAGAGGGAGGCACCCGCCGGCTCTGAGGCCCAGGGAGCACTAAGCTTTTGGAGAGAAGGGGTACTGTGGGTGCCACCAATCCAGGAGCCGCACGCTGTGCACGGGGTCCAGCACAACCTGCACTCCCTGCTCCAGGCGCGGCTTCCTGCCGTTGCGAACCGGAGCGTCCTGGAACACCAGGCGCACGCGATGATGCCTCATGTCTGTGCTCACGTTGATGGTGAACTGCAAGAAAAAGAGAGCAGGAGGTGCCTCAGGAGATGAAAGAGATGGAGTTCTTCACAGTAGGCTCTGAATCGACAGCACTGGATTCAAACCAGTTCTCTCTGGCTGGCAACTCCAAATATGACCACTACCAGAAGTGAACTGGAAGCAAGTGGCTGACAGAGAAATCTGGAAATCACTGCCCTGCTTAGTCCCTAACAGGGGTGTTGGGTCAATGAGAAGCTCACCATGACTGGGCTGCACCCTCAGAGTGTAAGCAGCAGGGCAGGGAAGGGATTCACCCCCTCTGCTGTGCTCTGGGGAGAACCTCTCCCTGCAGTCCTGATCCAGCTCTGGGGCAACACCACCAGAGGGACATGGAGCTGTTGGAGCGAGGCCAGAGGAGGCCACGGAGATGCTGCGAGGGCTGGAGCAGCTCTGCTCTGGAGCCAGGTGAGAGAGCTGGGCTGGGGCAGCCTGGAGAAGAGAAGGCTCCTGAAGGGGAGACCTGAGAGCAGCTCCAGTGCCTAAAGGGGCTGCAGGAAAGCTGGAGAGGGGCTTGGGACAAGGGCCTGTAGGGACAGGCCAAGGGGAATGGCTTGAACCTGCCAGAGGGGAGACTGAGATGAGCTCTTAGGCAGAAGCTCTTCCCTGTGAGGGTGCTGAGGCGCTGGCACAGGGTGCCCAGAGAAGCTGTGGCTGCCCCATCCCTGGCAGTGTTCAAGGCCAGGTTGGACACAGGGGCTTGGAGCAAGCTGCTCTATGGAAGGGGTCCCTGCCCGTGGCAGGGCTTGGAGCTGGAGGAGCTTTAAGGTCCCTTCCAACCCAAATCAGTCTGTGAATCATTCTGTGAGTCTATATACACATGGGAAGAGTCTGGCCATACAGGGTTTTGCACTCAGATTTTACTGCCATAAGGTAAGGTGGTATTTTCTTGAGGAAGGAAGACCTCTTCTCCTGCATCCCTTCCTCTCATACCCTACTGGAGTACTAGCAGCTACCCTGCCCCCAGATGCTGCAACAACTACAGCTCATTCTCTACATCATCTCTATCTGCTGCACCAAATAGGGAAGAGCTGACAGAAATGCAGAAGCTCAAATGAGGAGATCCTCAGCATTTCCTCTCATCATTAAGATTCCCAGAACTGGTTTGCTGATGCACCAGCGTCATTTACACACCACTAACGAGGAGTCCTCTGCATCTCCTTACACCTGCGAAGTCTGCAGAGCAGCCTTCTCCAACACTTACCAAGGTAAACGTCATACCCATGACTATTGGCACGAATATGAAGTTGAAGGTGGTGATCTGCAGTAGACAGCAATCCTGATCTGGATTTGTATGGACTTCTTCATACTGAATGGGTGGCTGGAGACCTTTGCAACACTTGCTCTTAAATCTGGGAGACTTGAAAGAAAGAGACTTATTTAGTGAAGCAGGATGCTATGATGAGAGTTTGGCTGCCTCTCACCCATGCTAACAGGTTCCCAGTGCATTCCCATACCCTGGGGCAGAGCTTGACTTAAACAACAAAACACCATCACTCAGGACAGGCAATCTCATTTGCAGGACCATTTCTTTAGAGGGGAAAGCTGCAGAATTCCCAAGGTTGCCTGAAAGTATTTGCTCCTCCCAGGAGCTGGAGATTTTCATGGGCAGTGTTGGATTTCTTCACTTCTCTGGGCAATCTTTCCAATGGGAAAACCAGATGGTTCAGATTTTGGTCTATATTTTGAGCAATGAAGTCAAACGGTCTTTGGGTTTGGGTAGTAATCAATGACCCAAAGATTAGACTATTTGGGATAACAAATGATGCAAATCTTAAAGTGAAAGAAGGGTAGCAAAGTTAAGATTCTAAATACAGCCTGAAAACTGAGGGTAGTTCAAAACATGCTTTAATTTACCAGGGGAGTCAGTTTCCATTTGGTGTCTGAGCACATAACAAGTTTCCACCTTCCTTTCTACCACCCAAAAAATTCCTTTCCTCTTCAAAACCAACTCACAGCCATTCTGGTTCTTCTTTCATACCTGCTTTTTGAACTTGAAGTTGAATTCCCACATTGCTTCTTGTCTGTTCCCTTCAATCTTTTTGCACCAGAAAAGCAGACACTGAGGTGGAAAGAAAAGAAATACAAAACTGAGGAACCTTGAGGCACCACTTTAAGGAAGTTTTAGCAGAGCAGAAAGGCTTCCACTGACAAACACAGTTACACAGGAGCAGTTAGGAACCATTTATTCAAATGAATTATGTTCAAAGAACACACTCAGCAGCTCAGGACTCCCAGTTCCGAGTTGGCCAACTCGTCATGCAGCTGGATGATACAATAAGGAGCACTGACGTGCTAAACAAAAAACCCCAGCGCACACTTTGCCCCTTTCCTAAGGCAGAGATGAGCAGAACAGATTCACCCACTTTACCCAACCACCAGGAACTGCCACTAAACTGGACGCCAGGCAGGACTGAAGTGAGGAACAACTGAAAACAGAGTAAGGATTGAAAGGCGAGGATCCAGAGGGAAATACAAATTCCAGTACACAAGCTATGAGGTGACAGATGATAAAGTTCCTAAGCCACTGTGGTGTCAAAAGAAGGTCTTGGCATCACTAGGCACTGATGGTCAGACTTCACAGTATAAAAACCACCTCCAGGATAGCATGGGCTGATCAACCTCCTGTCCCTTCTT